TATTTTATACTAAGCATTCTTTATCTTTCATCAGAAAATTAAAGCAAATCATTAGATGCAGGGCCCAAGCACTTGGGCCATCCTCCACTGCCCTCCCGGGCCACAGCAGAGAGCTGGACTAGAAGAGGGGCAACCGGGACAGAATCCAGCGCCCCAACACCTAGAACCTGGTGTGCCGGCGCCGCAGGCAGAGGATTAGCCTAGTAGTGAGCCACGGCGCCGGACAAGAGACTATCTTAAGGAAGTAAGTTTTATGGAGAAGTAAGCGGGGTGGCCCATCAGAAAACTGGGAACACAGATACTAACGGACTGCCTGTTAAAGGGGAGTGCACCTCCGTGGGTGCGTCTGCTGCAGGCAGGGTGTGGGCTTCCCACATACTGAGCCCTGACAAGAGGCTGACTGGTCTACCTCCTAGGGACACAGCTTTCCTTCCTAGGACAAATGGTCTGGTCCAGTTTAAGAATACAGGTGGAAGAATAACTGCTAAGATAGAAACAAACAATTTCCTATCATTTCAACCCCACCAAGAAGATTAAAACAAACAGCATTTAAATATGAGCAATTCTCCCTGTGCTTTCCTGAGTAAAATCTGTGGGCAACATGAGACACCGCGCTGACACCTGGAAGACAGGAGCAAATCCAGACATCACACGTACCGTGGTCGACTCCGCGTCTGATCTGTCTGAACCTCGACCCTGAACCTGACTGAGGGGTGGCGTTGAGCCTAGCAGTTCACACTTCCAAACCACAGCACAAGGCCTGGGTCCGACTGCTGCCCTTGCCCCGACTCCAGCTTCTTGGCACGCGGGTCCCTGCCACCCACGCGGGAAATCTAGATTGTCCCTGAGTCCCAGCTGCGTTCAGGCCCAGCCCCTGCACTGCAGGCGAACCATAAGATGGGAGCTCTCTGTCTCTCTACACCTATCTCATAAATAAATAAAAATTAATAAAAACAAAACCTGAATAGCTGCTTGGGTTATGAAGCTCCACCCAGGAGTCAGCAAAATATGGTTTATTAAAGCAGAAAGGGAAATTACTTTCTTCTAAGAGCATAATGGTTTCCCAGGAGACACATGCCTGCCTGCTGCGACAACACACTCCCTGAGACCCCTGGCGCAATCTGGAACATGGGAGGGGAGGGAGGGAGGTGGGGAGGCACAAACGGTTGAGTCCCGGAATTAGTCAGATTTTCCCCTTCCTGCCCAGATAACAGACAAGCCTTCACACACACACAAACGCACTGCAGGCCCTGTTCTTCAAGACGCTGGAGACGATCAATCAGCCAGTTACTTTTGTTTCTCTGGGAAGATGACTGCATACCGTTCCTTTGCTTTTAAGCTTTGATTTCCTCCCAACTTCCGCTAAGAGGCAGGCTGCACACTGTCCTGCCCAAACCAGCAATGAGATCATCCCAACACCACTCCTGGAGCAGGGTGATGTGGGGTGCTATGCAAATCAAAACTGACCCTTCGTGCATATGAAGACAGTCATGAGGCCCCACTGAAATTGTTCTTTTTGCTCTCTAATTCTTTTCAGTTCACTTTTCCCTTGCTGTTCCTGACGGGTCCAACGGAGATGACCCTGACAAGAACCCCTGGCACAGGACCGTGGATGCCCCTTCCCGCTCCCATCGACTGGGACAGCACCGCAGCCAATCCACAGTGCACTGGTTTCCCACTTCTAAAAGGTCTTAAATGAAATACACCACTCCATTTTGTGTCATCAGGTATGTGCACAGCTAATACAGATTTAGTTTTTGAGTTAGAATGTTAACATCTTCACTTTCAAAGTCCATCAGTGAGTATAATGAAGCTGTTCTGATGGACACGAGGTGGTGGAATCAGAGATCCAGGTGAGCCCTGCCATTCGCCTGTCTCAGCACCTGGTTTACTTCTGTGCATTTAGTTCTGAGGACAGGATACGCAGGACAGCTGTGCTCACAAAATGAGGAAGTACAAATGTCAGCAGATTTTCTTTGAAAGTGGCTTTAATTAATTAGAGAACTAAGTAAAAATATACATGGGCAGGTAGGCTGACACCCAAAGCCAGCATATTGATGCTCAAGTCTGGTACTGGTACTTTTAAACCTTCACACGCTTTGCCTTCCTCCGCTCCAGACCCTCCGCAAGACTCGAGGCTCTCCGTGGGTGCTCCGGCATCCTCGGGCAGTGGCAGTGCCAGCACACATGGTCCTACAGCTAGGGAACCCCAGCTACGAGCGCCTTCTCCAAGGCAGTCCAGCCACACACGCACAGGTGTGCTCAGGCGCCTGGGTCCAACAGGCACATTCTCTAGTGTTACAATGGGCACTCTGTGGGCTGGCATCAATTTCTGTAAATAAAGTTTCACTGGAACCCAGCCACCTCCATTTTCCTGTTTGGTTTGTGGTAACTTGCAGGCTACCAGGGCAGTCAAGCAGCTGTGACACAGACATGAAGAGCCACCCGCCTGGCGCGCCCCCCAGCTCCTGATCTACCTGATTCTCGGCAGCACCGTCCCCGTATCCCATCTAAGGACCGCGTGTACTGGAGCTGCTGCAGATTAAAACACTGCTGCAATGGCTAAATGTCAAGGATTCTACTTTGAGAACCCTTATCTAACATCATCGTGTCAGCAGCCTGGGAAAGGTGCCCGGCACATACTGATGCGCCTTTGAACAGTCCACGGAAGATCTGTAGTAGGAAAAAGCCAAGCATGGGGCTCGAGGTCTTCTGCACTCCAGATTCCCAGCAGCCCGTGAAGAGCCCGCACGCATGCGCACGGTTCTGCTGGCCAGACACAGACCCTGCACCTCGTAGCATTCGGCAGTGCTCTCTGCTGACCTGCGCCCCGAGCGTGCAACCACTGAGAGCTGGACCCAAGAAGATCTGGTCTGAGGGCCTCAAGATTCCTGCACTGCTCAGCCAGGGAAGTGGACAACAGTGTGGACGCCACTTAGAAACAAACCTGAAACTGAGTGGCAGCGACAGGACAGCACATGGAGCAGCTGAAAAGGCCCACAACCTCCGCCCACGACTGCTTGTGTCCTGGAAGCGGCACTGTTGCTGTCTTCTTTTTCAACTATTTATTCCTCTCTATAGCCACGGCATCATCTCCTATCAGGGAGTCTGCTCACTTGGACGATTTTCAGTATCTAATCCTGCCTGTGCACCTGCTGGTGCTCCTAAACATGCTCCATTTCCTCACGTATTTTTATCGTGTGCTCAGCTTCACAGGACTTTTGTCTTCCGCCCCTGGTGGCCCCTGAAATCCTGCCGTATCCACGTGGTTTTATTCACCGTTAGCTAGGGTCCCTCAGGGTGTCATCACTCCTACACTGGGGTCTCACGAAACCTCTTGTGAAACTCCTTAGCTTTGGGTTCCAGCACATATGAAGATATAAATTTGGATACCAGATTTATGTATGACACAGAATTCTCTCACAGCCGGGAGAGACAGCAAGGATCCTCACTGCTTCCGAAGGCCAGGGGCAGGTTCATGGTCCAGGTCCCTCATGATGGGTGTGACAGTCTGCAAAGTGTTTGCTTTCAGTTCCAGTCCAGATACTGTGTCCCACGGTCACACACACTGTCCTCAGGTCTGTGAGGGAACACTCTTTACTGTGAGGTGACCGGGGAAAGAATCCTGTTGGAATGCTGCAGGGTTGCTGGCAGTGTCTTGTTTTCCTAGAAGTCACAGGCAGGAGGAGCTCATGGTTGATTAACTGTACGTGAAGAGTGACATGCACACAGGCAACCTGTGCCTCCTGGGACACGCGTGGACACAGATGGGCACTCCTACAGCGCTCTGGGTTTTCAAATAGGACAATGAAACAAATACTGCTGCACACTATTTTTAAAGTATAATATATCCACAAGTCACTTTATAAGGAGGGACTTAAAAGTCCCGACAGCTGCAGGCCACGTGCTCGGGCAGTCACACTCCTCTACTCAAGAAAGCAAGGCAGCAGAAGTCATCATGGAAGGGACTTTGATCCTGTCCAAATGAACTTGTAAGTATTTCGAGTGTAAGCTAGCTATTTTTAGTGACTAATAGTTGGAATCCTCAACACGGAGGCCTAAAAACAAGAAGTCCCGTCAAGGTCTGAGACTGGCCCCTGGCGGTCTGAGTTAGTCGTGTTTGTTGGGACTGGCCCAGGAGCAACAGGATGCTGTCACCTCAGCCTTCGGGGGCCGGGTAGCTGCACCTCCACCAGTCCCCTCTGAGCAGGAGGGGCCTCCGTGACTGGCCTGGTGTGCTCTGGAATGCACTTATTTTCTGTGTGTGCAGTGGCCGAATTTCAAACACAGGCTTAGAGCACAGACTTGAAAATTACGACACAGGGACCAAATGGGGAGGGTCACACCTGCTTTGTGCAGCCCTGGAGCAATGAATGATTTTCATATTTCAAATGGTGGGAACAAAATGAGAAAGATTTTACACAACACATAAAGTTTTACAACACTATTGTTTCAGATGCACCAGGCCAAGCCAGCTGCAGAGTCCAGCAGTGGAACCTGAGATACCCTGTCCAGTCCACAGCAGAAAAAGCTGGTCGCCTCCTGCCTGAGAGCATCTTCCGCAAACCAGGAACCAGGCTCAGGCAGCACACCTGGCTTCCTGGCAGGTGCAGCAGGTCAGCACCACTGCACATAAAGGCACTCACCCGTGGCCGTCACAGGCAAGGGAGGCGAATGGTCAGGGCGCGGCCCCAGGATGGAACCGAGGGGAGCGCCGTGAGCCAGGCAGACTGCTGCGCAGCTTCTTGATGCTGGCAGACTTTGGGAACAGGAAGCGAGCGGTTTAGGAATCAGAGAAGTACGTGCAGTCAGGGCTATCTGAAGAACTACAGGCTGAATTACACACCGAGCATTATTTCTTCAGTGATGTCTAAAGAAAAATAAAAAAATAAAGGCGCCACTTCTCCTCACAAATGAGGAACCGACAGGGTAGGACAGACAGGAACCAGCAATCGCTGCCCGGAGCAGAGCTCCCCCCGAGGGAGCGGCACCTCCCTTACTTGCACAAGTGTAGGCGTCTCTGCTGGTGAACGGCTTCGCACACTGGCTGCAGCTGACGGGGCCCACCACAGGAACGGGGCTGAAGGAGTGCCCGCTGGCGGCCTTCCTGTCCTTCTCCTTCTCTCTACAGTCCTTCTCCTTCTCCTTCACTTTCTCTTTCTCTTTTTCCTTTTCCTGCCAAAGAAAAGAATCAACAGTTAACTGCACATGGCAGGTCTTCCCCCTTCTCGAGCCCCAGATGGCAGGCAGTCAGCAGGGGTGGGGAATGGTTTCGACAAAAGTGGAGGAACCACGTTCTGCGCAAACCCATACTAAGTGGTGAACAAGACAACCGCCATGGAAAGCCCTGTGAACACCAGGCTGGCAAAACGGTGTGGTGGGGGTTCCTCAGGGTTATTTCCGTCGAGAAACACCACATCCAGGGACCAACTCAAGAGAGCGGCTTCCGAGGTCCCCTCTGCAGGGCACAGCGGTCCACACAGGAGCAATGTGTTTAGGGCCAGCTTCAGGCGGGAGCAAAGAAGGGTGGGAGCAGATGGGGATGCACGAGGAGGAAGGAGGACTCCTGAGGCCGCTCTGCCCGCTGCACACCCTCACCCATGTTTCCTCTTTCTCTCCGGCCACACACAGGAAACATCTCCACCCCTACATTTCCACTTTTTACTGATGAGCATTTCAAGGCTTGTGGATACAAACTTTTATCCAGTGTCCAACCCGGGAGGAGGATGCTGGGAGGCACTGGATGGAAAGAGCACAGATGAGGGGACCAGGAACTGCCCGGCTACACTACCTCAAAATAAGGCAGACCGTGAAAAATGCCTTGGAGACTAGAGGTGGAGGACCAGCCCTGGCATCCAGCCTCCACTCAAGAGAGCTTAGCAAAGCTTCTACAGTCACAAAGAGGAATGGTAAGAAATTTATATCCTGGGGCCGGCGCTGTGGCGCAGCAGGTTAACACCCTGGCCTGGCCTGAAGCGCCAGCATCCCATATGGGCGCTGGTTCTAGTCCCAGCTGCTCTACTTTTGATCCAGCTCTCTGCTTTGGCCTGAGAAAGCAATAAAAGATGGCCCAAGTCTTTGGGCCCCTGCACCCGCATGGGAGACCTGGAAAAAGCTCCTGCCTTCTGGCTTCGGATCTGCACAGCTCTGGCCATTGTGGCCAACTGGGGAGTGAAGATCTCTCTCTCTCTCTCTCTCCTCTCTCCGTGTATCTCTGACTTTCAAATAAATAAATAAATCTTTTAAAAAAAATTTAAATCTTGAAAAGTTGAAATAACAGTGACATGTGCTAGATCTTGAATAAAACATTTAAAGCATTGAGGGGCATTCAGATGCACAGTGGTCCCGGGAGCCAGGGCCCAGAGGCTACTGGGCATGGCACGTGGCTGGCCAAGCAGCTTCAGTGGACTTCACAGCCATTCAATCAAGGAGCACAAACGAGTGCAACCCTCGAGGGTGGAGCTTTGCTTCCTGAAGGGTGGTCCACTGCGACTGACAAATGCCCACCACTACACACACTGCTCCCTCTGCTTCCACGACAGAAGTGCGCAGGCTGCATCACAACCACCAGGGAACTTAAGGACTGGAAAGTTCTGGACTGTCACTATTCGCAAAGTACTGGGGTGAGCAATTCACACGCACTTTCTCACAACCACCCCAGGAATTAAGTGCTGCCGGACCTCCATCTTCCGTCTGAAGAGACGGGGGCTCACATACCACACAGGAGGTACTCAAGCCACAGAGGAGACCCAGACCCAGCTGACAATCCACACAGAGCCAGAGCCCAGTCTCCTGCTTCCTGCTCAGAACCCACGGGCAAATCTACAATGGAAACCTCTGTGGGTCACAGACAAGTCCTAGGTTTACAGAGCGTGTACGCTGAGAACCTAAGAGTGTGACTGCCACTTTCAAGTATAAAATGATACTAGAGGAAGGAAGAAAAACTACTTCACTTGACAAAACAGGAAACTGCTCTAAGTGAAAATCAGTAACTGCTGAAATATGTAAATTTCTAGTGAAACAACAAATGTAAACATTACCAACAAACTGAGAAACAACTGCAGTCTTCAAGACGACTGTTGGCTGCACCTTGCTGAGGGTTTCTCCCTGCGTGAGCATCCAACTGCTGGCCTGAGGAAGCCACAGCAGGCCCGGTCGCCAAAAACTCCTGTGGCAGCTGCCTCACTCTCTCAAGCTTTGCAATGCTTTTTAAATCTCAATAAATTATAAGCAATGTTTTTATCCTACGCAACAACCCATCGTAGTTCTTCAAGGACAAAAGCAGAACCACAACCCCCAGTGTCTCTTTCAGTGTTTATTAGAATTCAGTGCTTAAAAGAAGTCAGCCTTACCTCCCCATGTTTCGGTCCTAAGAATCTCACGGTTATGAGGGGCAGCTCGTGGAACCGACCCCATTTCCCCGACATGGCCTGACCCCCATGCCAGGAAACGCACTCTCACAAGAGGAGGGCTCATGCCGGCAGGGCACAGCTCAGCCGCTCTGGCTGCCCTCTGCAAGAGAAACCCCAAGAGGAAGCCAGAGACAAGTTGAGAAGCGGAAGGAGGGAGGGCTGAGGCTGCCCGTTTCCTGGTGACAACCTTAACTGTTAGACTGCTGCCAGCGCTGAGCACACAGGAAGTGAACTGCACTAAGTCCCAACAGAGCTACAGACAGAGCTACGCTGCAGCAGGGGCCGGGACGGGCAAGCCTGGACGCCCCGTCTGAGGAAGCAGAGAGCTGCAAAGCAAAGTTTCAGTCAAGCTGCCCAAGGCAGAGTGGCGACTAGCTGGCTTTTCCATGTTTACCAACTGCCAAAACGCTTCAGCCTTGTGCTGTGGAACAGAAGGGAGCAGGACACCTCTGAACCTCCCAGTTTTAATTACAATTTAAAAACCTGAGAACACTGTAGACGACTATGACAACAGGATGCGATTACACTGTCACACTGCAGATCTTCATAAAGAAAGGACTGTGACCATTCAGACACGGACTTGAGCCTTTGCAAACACTAATCTCCGCTGCTGTGCCCCCGTGACAGGCTAACTCGAACAGCTCTTCTTAACCAGGCTACAGGAACTATAGGTCTTGTTACAGGTTATACAGTGCATCGGCAGCTGAGCGCCCAGAAGGGCCTACAGCAAGTCAGCGCAAGTCTGTCTGAAACATTTCTAACCATCCTGGTGGTCCCCCAAAAGAAAACTTAGTAGCAAAAATGAAAACCATTCAATAAAGAAACCCATGTTTTTGAGAACCTAGTTTGAGACTCTCAATCAGCCAGCATAATTAGTCTCTAACAAGCAAACCTGACTAGGAAAAGTACTACCTCCCGTAGGCACCAAGACAAAAGCAACATCAGCCAGTCCTCCTGTTGCACTCCCTATTTAGGCTCTCAACCCTTTTTAGAAAAACATTCAAACAACTCAGCCTGTTACTGACCATTATCCAAAGGACAGGTGAAGATCACGGATTCTATCTGTTATCAAAAGAGGGAGGGAGGAGGGCGGGAAGACATACCGAGGAATGCAAACACCTGCTGCTCCCTAGGTCTCTGACCACTTCTCAGGACCTGCTGTGTGGCCACCCTTACCCCACTGAGCGCCAAGTGCCTGGGTTAGTAGCGATGACCTCTTTTCATGTAAACACATCTATGATACCTAAGTAAAGCAGAAATTTCTAAACTATCCTTGGACACCTCAGAATTACAGCTGACATTTTAATATAATATTCAGTAAATGCTCCAAATTTTCCTTTAAAAGGAAGCATAGTTATATTACACAGATTAGTGAAACAAACAGATTACATGGTCTCTCATAGTAGGACATCATTTTCATAGGAAATTCAGTGTTAACATCTACACTGGCACCTCCAGTTTTAACATGATGGAGAAGGACCATCATGCGACAGTTAGGGTCAGGAAACGTTTATCACTGTGCTGCTGTCTGCAAGATGGAGGCCTTCTCTGTGGTGAAGCTCTACCGTGGATGCAGGGCACATCAGGAGAGAATGTTTAATATAACACAAAATAACCTTATTTTGGGGCTGGTGTTGTGGTGTGGTGGGTTAAGCTGCCTGTGATGCCACCATCCCATATGTGTGTAGGTTTGAATCCCGACTGCTCACTTCCCATCCAGCTTCCTGGGAAAGCAGTAGAAGATGGCCCAAGGCCAGTGCCGTGGCTCACTAGGCTAATCCTCCGCCTGCGGCGCCGGCACACCGGGTTCCAGTCCCGGTCGGGGCGCCGGATTCTGTCCCGGCTGCCCCTCTTCCAGGCCAGCTCTCTGCTGTGGCCCAGGAGTGCAGCGGAGGATGGCCCAAGTGCTTGGGCCCTGCACCCCAGGGAAGACCAGGAGAAGCACCTGGCTCCTGCCTTCGCATCAGCGTGGTGCACCAGCCGCAGCGGCCATTGGAGGGTGAACCAATGGCAAAGGAAGACCTTTCTCTCTGTCTCTCTCTCTCACTGTCCACTCTGTCAAAAAAAAAAAAAAAAAAAAAAAGATGGCCCAAGTGCTTGGGTCCCTGCACCCACGTGGGAGACCCAGATGAAGCCACTGGCTCTTGGCTTCAGCCTGGCCATCTGAGAAGGGAACCAGCAGACGGAAGGAAGACTTCTCTCTGTCGCTCTAACTGTAATAAATAAAATAAATCTTTTTTTTTTAAAGTTATTTCTTACTATCTTTTGCTAAACAGAAAGAAGTGAAGTTGTTCTACAGGAGGATTGATATCAATCTGACTTAAAAGTCGCTAGTAACAACCATGAAAGGCGACTTCTGGGGCTGGTGTTGTGGCACAGCAGGTTAAGCCACTGCGTGCAACACTGGCATACCACGTGGGTGTTAGCTGAATCCCAGCTGCTCCTCTTCCGACCTAGCGACCTGTTGATGTGCCTGGGAAAGCAGCAGAGGATGGCCCCCACACCCACAAGGGAGATCTGGAAGAAGCGCCTGGCTCCTGGCTTCAGCCTGGCCCAGCCCTAGCTATTGTGGCCACCTGGGGAAGGAACCAGTGGATGGAAGATCTCTGTGTAACGACGACTTTCAACTAAATAAATAAAAATAGATTTTGGAAAAAAAAAAGGAAAGAGAAAAAAAGATGATTTCTTCATCTACTTGTCCACTGAGGTACTCCAAGTGCCTGATAGTGGGAGAGCACTGCGGATCTGGAGTATCTGGGGTTCCACTGCTCGAGGGCACAGCCCTCCAGACCAAACCGCAAAGCCAAGACGGAACGAGGAACAAGCTCGACTGCACCAGTGCGGCTGCCCTGGCTCGGGAGAAGATGGAGGCGGGCTGGCCCGTGCTGCAGCGGCTTCTGCCGCAACGACGGCTCTCCTGGCAAACACTAGCCCCTGAGACTGAAACACGCTTCAAAGAGGAAAAAGGAAAATACATATAGCACTTGCAAACAGCTTTCAAGAGAGAGAGGAAAAGATGCGCACTACATGTACGTGTCAGCCAGGCCAGGGGAGCCTCTGCCTCGCTCTGGCTGCCCCGTGACCCAAGAACACCTCCCCATGCTTAGTCTGAACATAGAGAAGCTGGGACGAGACCTTCTGGAAGGTCAGGCTCCGTCTAAGTCGTGCGCTGGTATCACCTCATCAACAAGGCCAGTGGTCTAGTCACAGCACTGTCCCAAAAGCTCATGCCACTGGAGATGGACAGAAAGGAGAAGCTGCAGTTGAAAAGTTTGTTTGAGGACAAGATTCCATAGTTTAAAAATGAAATAAAGAGCAAAAGTATCGTGAACTCATCCAAACCAGATCACAAAGATTTTCAAGGTCATTTACTGCGCGTAGGAGACTTCTAAGACAGCAGAAGTCCCTCAGTAACACTCAACAGGCTAATCTTCCCAAGGGTGTTCTTTTGTTGATGTCAACCTGTACCCAAGCCAGCAACAAGCGAAACAGCTAAGGCTCTACTTTAAGCTGTTTTTCTACTTAAAGCTGTGTTGCCAATATATGGAACAGTAGTAAGCATTCCACTCTCCTGGACCTTTATTTTTTTTTAATACTAAACCAAGACCAAATATGACTTCATATGTCTCTCTGTGACTGGGCCAGACACGGTTTGCTGACCTCGGTGTTGTTTCCTGATTGCCCACTTTCGCTTTCCTCTGCACTTTGGCAGCAGAGATAAAGAAAAAGCGCAATGCTGGAGACAAGTTGTTGGAAAAATCCCTCTAGGTGATGACCAAATCTGGTGTCTTCTAGATTGGGCAACATATCAGTTGTACTTCAATCAGCCCACTTAACTGAGTGCCCAAGAGACTTAGTGGGGGGGGCTGGCGCCGTGGCACAGTAGGTTAATCCTCCGCCTGTGGTGCCAACATTCCATATGGGTGCTGGTTCTAGTCCCAGCTGCTCCTCTTCTGATCCAGCTCTCTGCTGATGGCCTGGGAAAGTAGCAGAGGATGGCCCAAGTCCTTGGGCCCCTGCCCTGACATGGGAGACCTGGAAGAAGTTCCTGGCTCCTGGCTTCTGATCAGTTCAGCTCTGGCAGTTGGGGCCATTTGGGGAGCAAACCAGAGGATGGAAGACCTGTCTCTCCCTCTCACTGCCTGTATCTTTTCCTCTAAAATAAATAAATAAAATTTTTACAAAATAAAAATAAAAAAAGACTTAGTGGGGGAGAGGGAGCAGCCTTGTTTCATGTTTATTCCCTAGTTCTTTCCATGCATTCATGTATGTGTGTACCTATGTATGTATTCACGCATATACATACATATCTTTTTTTCTTGCCTCTTAAAATACATTAAATACATTTTTTAAAATTAGGAATATACAAATCAAAATACTAGTAGTAGTTATCCCTTTATGTAGTTATTACAGGTGATTTTTTTTTTTACTTTATATTTGGAAGAGCTTACAATGAACATGCAAAAAAATAACTAGGTCAAACTAGTTTCAATATTTTAATTTAACATCAGGCACTAAAGAGGCTACATTCCAAATGTTCCAAATTAGAAATAGATCTAGGAATTAACAGTAAGTTAATCTTCAAAGTTCTTAGAATTTTCTGTGGGGTCATCTGTCTTCCGTCTAAACCCAAACACTGCAAGTATTTTCCATACCCTGTTCTTGGTATAAAATCTTTCTACAACATTAGAAATTTTAATTAATTCATTAATTTATGACAGGGGTGGAAGAGAGGGAGAGGGAGGGAGGGAGAGGAAGACATGGAATGGGAGACAGCACTCCCACCTGCTGATTCCCCCCACAAATGCTTGCAGGAGCAAGGCCTGGGCCAGTGCTGAAGCCGTGAGTCAGTAACTCCATCCACGTTTCCCACGTGGGGGGCAGGGATCCAGCTCTGTGAGCCGTAGCCCGCCGGCTTCCAGGATGTATTTAGCAGGAGGCTGCAATTGGGAGCCGAGTTGGAGCTGGGACTTGAAACCAGGCATTCCACATGGAATGTGGCTGTCCCAACGGCTATGCCAAATTCCCATCCCCTTCCATGACATCTTTAATAATCCTATATGTTTATCTGAAAGGGAGAGAGAGAGACAGAGAGATCTTCCATCCGTTGACTCACTCCCCAACTGTCCACAACTAGGGCTGGGTCAGGCTGCATCCATCTGGGTTCCCACTCGCGTCGCAGGTACTCAAGTACTTGGGCCATCATCCCGGGCTGCCTCCCTGGATACACACTAGCAGGAAGCTGCATCCGAAGTCAGGAGCCAGGACGGCTACCAGGCACTCCGCAGGGGATGGAGCATCCCAAGCAGCCTCTGAAGGTTTTGCCAAACACCTGTCCCCTTCTCTGACAGGGAATCCTAAGTCAAAGAGATCCAAGACTGAACCCCTTCTCCACATTTGGGGCACTCCCCACGGGTACAGGGACCACCTGCGAGACAGGGCTGCTGGACAGGTAAACCGTCTGTGGAGAGTTCTCAGCACACACAGTACAAGTTTACCGAGTGCAGTACTTCTCGTGACCCGACTTAGTGCTACTCCTTTCCTCCACGGTCAGGCTATTTCAGACGGCTCCCGAGTTCACTTCCAGCCAGGTCCCCATCTTGCAGGCCTGGAGTTCACACGGGCTGAGGCAGAGGACCACACAAGGAAGACCCACGCTGATACTTACTTTACTCTTCTTACTGCTGGACATCTTATTCTTGATGTAGCTGAATGTGCGACTGACTTTTGTTCCACTCTTCCCTTCAAAGTCTTTCTTGGAAGGGCTCTGTGGCAGGAAGTTGTAGCTTTCTTCTGTTATACTAAATAAAAACAGGAAGAGGGACTTTTTTAGGGACTAGAGAAGTTAAACGGGTGGCAGAAGAAGTGGTAGGCAGAGATGGTTGAGCGGTTCTGGTTTCATGCAGTATCTGGGGACAGCATGAGCTACAACACCCACATTCTGTTGCCCAGAGCTGGCTGTGTTTTTCTCTTAGTCTTAATGTTGTAATTATAGATTTGCAGCGACTCATGTTAAAGACCCTGTCAGTTACTCATTATTTTGTCTGAAATTTCTAACACAGCATTTGGTCTACAAACTTTGTTGCAAACTGGTGCTTGAAAGGACAGTCCTACACATAAAAGAAGGATGAGGCACTGGTCACCAGGGGATGCAAACCAGGGAGCCTCACGACTGATGCAGGCTCACGCTGACCAAGCTTTGGGCACCAAACAGCCAAGACTGTGGACTGGTGTTTGCAGCTACACACGCTTCAGGAGGTCTAGACAGAGCAGCGGGCCAGCCTGAGGTGCAGTGTGTGTACCCACAAAGAACCCTTTACGAATTCCGTACAGATACTTGCTCAAGAAGCCCACCTGACATCTAGGGCCGTCCCAAGTGAACCGGTCTGTAACATCTAGGGCCGTCCCAAGTGAACCGGTCTGTAACACCTAGGGCCATCCCAAGTGAACCGGTCTGTAACACCTAGGGCCGTCCCAAGTGAACCGGTCTGTAACACCTAGGGCCGTCCCAAGTGAACCAGTCTGTAACATCTAGGGCCGTCCCAAGTGAACCGGTCTGTAACATCTAGGGCCGTCCCAAGTGAACCGGTCTGTAACACCTAGGGCCATCCCAAGTGAACCGGTCTGTAACACCTAGGGCCGTCCCAAGTGAACCGGTCTGTAACATCTAGGGCCGTCCCAAGTGAACCAGTCTGTAGCATCTAGGGCCGTCCCAAGCGAACCAGTCTGTAGCATCTAGGGCCGTCCCAAGTGAACCAGTCTGTAACATCTAGGGCCGTCCCAAGTGAACCAGTTCGACCTCAGGAAACAGCACATGGCTGACCTGTTTAATTCCTGGTCTTGCCACGGTTCAGTTTCTCCACACTGCCTCTCGGAGACGACCGCGCCCCAGGGAGCACGGGAGGGAGCACAGCTCCTGTGTGTCACCGAGGCTCCTGCTCCTCTCCACTGGGCACCAGCTAGCGGAGCCCCAGCCGTGTGCTGGGAGTGTGAGTGCAGGGCTGCTCTGTGGAGTGGGAACCCCTGCTGGTATTCTGCTCATGTGCTGTGGCACCCCCTGGCAGGGCGGCCCTGTCCACCTCAGGTGTCTCTGGGAGAGGCGGCAGAAGCAGAACACAGGTCCTCTCCACAGCCAACGCCCACTACTATGCACGTTGCTTCTATGCTGTTGTGAAAAAGTGGACTTGGAAGGGTGGCAGGGCAGCACCCAGAAGCCCCCGAACTCTCAGATTAGGATATTTCACTGCACAAGCATGAGATGGGAGGATAAAAATAAAGATAAACAATGGTCAGAGAGCAACCTTGTGTCTGCTCTAAGAACCTTGCCCACTGACATGGAACGGGCATTGCTCAACACACACGTGCGTAGAAGAGCCCAACTTGAAAACATAAAAGGTGAGGAAGGTGGTAGCACAGTACGGATGTGGGGACGAGGGCACCTCACACAGTAACAAGAATTTTTTGGTTCAAAAAATGTTGAAATCCATGCAGACATGGGAGCTTCAAAAAGTTCATGTCAGCTGTGTACTGAGAACAACTATGCTCTGATTTAAAAATAAATCTTTACAAAAATGAATCTATTTTCCATGAACTTTCTGAAGTACCCTCATATATGCTAATTACAACACAAATTGCTACTCAGAATTTTAAAATCACCACAAAGCATGCACAAATCCATAAAGTCCAATATATATGTGCCCTCACATGACTAAATATAACCAATAATCTTTATCATGAAAACAGGGGGAAGAATAAAAGCAGTAAACTACTGAAGATGTTCACATAAAAGATGCAGCCCTCACTCTACCTCTGGTCCTTGCTACAAATTCATCACTCAAGGAATTACGTCCCCATGACCTCAGCTAACTGAGCTGACTTTACTGAAGGCCTGAGACATTCCTGACTCCCCTCACTGCATTCTGGGAAAGGAGTAACAGGGTCACTGTACCGCACCTCTCGGTCAGATGAGCACTGGCGTTGTGGAAGGACCGTGAGTCTAGAAAACAAAAGGCAGAGGACACGTTAGCAGAGGGCCTACCCTACGACAGGTCAGCTATTTAACAGTTACAGTGACACCGCTAAAGCGGAAACAGCATCTGAGAGCCAGTGCATGGTGCCTCTTCCTTCTGAAGGCTTGGTAGAAGGAAAAATTAAACTTGAAACCTTTAGCCATGGGGAGTGGATTTCTTACAAAGAAAATAAACTTAACCCAGGATTCAAGTAACTGAAAAAATCCCAACCAACATTGTCTCTCTAGCGCTTACACACACACACACACACACACACAACACAGAGCAGCTCTTCAATTCCTGGTCTTGCCACGGTTCAGTTTCTCCACGCTGCCTCTCTGAGACGACCGCGCCCCAGGGAGGACGGGAGGGAGCACGGCTCCTGTGTGTCACCGAGGCTGCTGCTCCTCTGCACTGGGCACCAGCTAGCGGAGCTCTGCTGTTTGCTTCAGAGAGCAGGGAAGAGCACCAGGGCTAGCTTACGGAATGCTGGCCCCGTCACTAAACCAGGGTAAAACTGCAGGATTTCAGGATCGGGAAGTGAGGGAGGAAGCACACACGGCGAGGTCCTCTCCACGAGTAAGATGCACTCTTTCTTCCCCCATAACTGCTGGCCCACAGACGGAAGCAGGTCACGAAAGCCCCAGGGACAAGTCAGATGACAAGGCACGAAGCCGAGAATGGTGAAGCAACAAGACCATGATTGCCATCGACCACACGTCCATCAAGTCTGAGTCACCCTCAACACTTCATGGCTTTCAGTTTTGAGGTCAGACACAGAGAATCTTTGCAAGGACACTCCAGCAGACAAAGGAAGCTCCGTGCAAGTACTAGAATAGGGAGCACACATACCCATCCCCTTCACACTGGTTCTAAGAATCCCCGAGATTACTGTGAGCAAACTTGCTCAGGCAGATGTGACAATGATCCACAATCAGATGACCAGCACTTGAAACCCTTGAACGCCCCAAAGATTCTAGGTTCTGAACAGAAATGCAGAACTGTGGCTACTACGAAGGAATTCAAACAGCCAACAGGTGGGAACAACTCCTAGGAAACTCGAAAACAAATTCTAAGTCTTCCTTTTCCATTTCTGGGGCTCTTCTACTCCACTAACTACTAGCGCAGCCTGGGGGAGGGAAGAGCAGACACCAAAGGCCAGGACCCGCAGCTCCAGCGCCCAGTTCTGCAGAGGTCAGGTGTCCACACAACCAGCATTTGAACCTTATGACCCCTTAATGCACGTAACAAACCGGAGAGGCTCATTTAAGTTAGTGGCTTTAAAACTTTACACTAAGGAGCCTTCAGTGACAAAAGCAGAATTAAATTCTCTCAAGTCACCAAGATTCTACTGTACATTTAAGCAAGGGCCTAGTAGGTCAGCATTCTAGGAATGCAAACAAAATAAAAATAAACTTTACAACAGAAAAGCTCCAACTACACAAAGACCTGCCAAGAAAAAGCAAGCAGCAGATTTCTGGGGAATAAATTACAAACTAAACAAAGCCGTGACAGCGAACTGGGGGGCCCACGACTCCTAGGAGATGTCCAGCTTTTTTACCACTGAGACTTGGTTTCTCTGACCTCTTAGTTGTCGTTCCGAGGACACTGATTAATCCAAAGCTGCCCCTGAAATTCCTAGATTGTCATCAGGTTTTTAGAACATCAAGGAGTACAGAAAAACCAAGGTTGTTTATACAACAAAATTACAGACAAAAGTAAAGGAACTTGTCATCAACACATAAAGGTTTACAAGTATTACTGCAGGGGACCGCTGCTGTGGCATAGCTGGTAAAGCCCCAGCCTGTGGTACCAGCATTCCATATGGGTGCCAGTTCAAGTCCTGGCAGCTCCACTTCCACCCTAGATCTCTGTCATGGACCTGGGAAAGCAGTAGAAGATGGTCAAGTCCTTGGGCCCCTCCACCAGCATGAGAGACCTGGAGGAAGCTCCTGGCTCCTGGCTTCAGATCAATGCAGCTCCAGCCACTGCGGCCCGCTGGGGAGTGAAGCAGCAGATGGAAGACACCTCTCCCTCTCCCTCCCTCCCTCCCTCCCTCTCCCTCTCCCTCTCCCTCCCTCTCCCTCCCTCTCCCTCTCCCTCTCCCTCTCCCTCTCTCTCTGCATAGCTCTTTCAAATAAATAAATCTTTTGTTTGTTTGTTTGTTTGTTAAAGTATTACTGCAGGCACTGACCAACTACAGACCTAACATACTACAAGCGGACTGGACGCTGGAATTTTACCCAGATCATTTCTCCAAGTGTGCTCCATGGAGCACTGGTCCCGTGAACTACTGTCACATTACATCTTCTGCTGAACACTGCCTTGGAAATCCATGGCCTACACAGATCAGCACCTGACACCTGCTGCAGAGTCCACTGTGTACTTACGCTGCTGTCCACTCATTTTTATATCCTTCTGCGTCCTCTACTCAATGCATATACTTCTGACTGACATTTTTGAGTTTAAGGAACACTTTCTGAAAAACGTTGGATATTTGACTCAACAGTTTCTTGAAGCTTCTATCTTCTGAGGACCTGCCGTGTTGGAAGGGTGTCATGAGCTGAGAATTCCCCAGTGCCGGTAAGAGCGGCACTGCTGGGACTGTTCTACTCTTCGTGCTGACCTGGCCGTCCACTTCCCAGTGCGTTACAGCACTCTGAGCTCTCTGCACTGCCAAAAGTTCAAGTGGATTTTGACAACCGTCCTCCCATCACAACGGCTTTCATGTCCATGTCTATTTCTTCAGGTATTGTTCAATAGTGAAAAATATACTGAACCCTAGTAAGTCTTCCATTTATACACAAATTAACCGAACTCTGTTACTGCGCATAAGGCTCTTCCTTTTAAAAACAATGCACAATATTTCCCCAAGCAATAGATAAACAATTCTGGAACTTAGGGTCGGCAAGTACTAAGGAACTAGGGTACTGATTCATAGGAGTACTTTTTAAATAAATGTACATATTTTTTTTGACAGGCAGAGTGGACAGTGAGAGAGAGAGAGAGGAAGGTCTTCCTTTTTCATTGGTTCACACCCTAATGGCTGCGGCGGCTGGTGCACTGTGGCCAGCACACCGCGCTGATCCGAAGCCCGGAGCCAGGTGCTTCTCCTGGTCTCCCATGGGGTGCAGGGCCCAAGCACTTGGGCCATCCTCCACTGCACTCCCTGGCCACAGCAGAGAGCTGGACAGGAAGAGGAGCGACCAGGACAGAATCCGGTGCCCTGACGGGGACTAGAACCCGGTGTGCTAGCGCCGCAGGCAGAGGATTAGCCTATTGAGCTGCGGTGCTGGCCAAATATACATATTTTTAAAAGTTAGAGTCACAGAGCCAGAGAGATAGAGATCTTCCATCTATTGGTACACTCCCAAAATGGACACAATGGCTGGAACTGAGCCAGGCCAAAACCAGGAACCTGGAACTCCATCTGGGTCGCCCACAGGGGCAACACGGGGGCCCAGGCACTTGGGCCAGCTTCCACTGCTTTACCAGGCGCATAGGCAGGGAGCTAGATCTTCAGTGGATCTGCTGGGACTGAAACCAGTGCTCACACTGGACCCTGGCACTGTAGGCAGTGGCTTAAACTACTGCGCCACAGTACCTGCCCCAACATCAGGAACATTCTAATTGTCAGAGACTCATAGTATCAGCTGCAGGAAATGAAACCAGTTCAGTATCCCACTGAACATCAGAAAAGGTTTTTCCGGGGCCAGCATTGTGCTGCACAATGGGAAACAGAATTTTTAAGTTAGTTATTACCAAAAATGTATTAATCTGAAACCTACAGTTTATTGAGAAGTTTAAAGATTTTTTTAAAAAAGAGCTCCAAGGAGGAGAAATATATTAACTCCACTCCCTTGTTCACACGGTGTTATTTCAAATGAAACATTTTTTAAATTACTTCATTTATTTACTGTCAGAAATGATGAGAAGATAAAAAATGCAATATAAGCTTTTAAATACCACAGACGGGCATCTAGACAACTGTACCACAAGACAGAGAAAAAAAAAAAAACTGCCAGGAAAACGAAGCTGCCGTGGCCAGGTGGACTGTTTGCTGAAACTGTACCCAGCACTACCAAGGCACAGTAAGGGTGGGGAACACATCCCTTATGCCTTGAGATGCCCTGGAATTGGGAGGCCACTGGAACAGGGTTAGAGGTACACAGACACAGAGATGTTGGATCTAGATGCACTTTCAGAGCCAAGTACAAAAACGTGATTTACAAAAGATGGCATGCAACGGGGTACAGCCAACGTTAGTGCCAAGCCCACAGCACTTCCAGAGCCAGTGAGGCCGGGGCAGCGGCGGACACGAAGCTGCTTACTTACTATGCAGCTCCTCCTCCTCACTGGAGTCAGAGGAGCCGAGAGAAAAGAGCGCTTTAGACTTGAGGAGGAGCGGAGAGACGCTCACGGAGAAGGAGATCTGCCTCGGGGGCTGCACCTGCTGCTGAGCTGACAGTGGGTAAGAAGAGTTAGAGCACACAGATCAGGCACATCACACCAGCACGGTGTGAACCCCCCCAACCCAAGTGGAAACACAACTGTGTCACGAGCCTACCAAGTCCCAGGAAAGTCCTGTGGTTTGACAGATGCTACTTCTTAACACTTTCACCTTCATTTCTAAATATGCAGAATTCAAAGGCGCAGTGCAAAATGCCTGCAGCGCCGGCATTCCATATGGGCGGAGGTTCTAGTCCCGGCTGCTCCTCTTCCAATCCAGCTCTCTGCTGTGGCCTGGGAAAGCAGTAAAAGATGGCCCAAGTCCTTGGGCCCCTGCACACGCGTGGGAGACCTGGAAGCTCCTGGCTCCTGGCTTCGGATTGCAGCTCCGGCCGTTGCGGCCATTTGGGGAGTGAACCAACAGAAGGCAGACCTCTCCGTCTCTCCCTCTCATTGTCTGTAACTCTACCTTCTCAAATGAATAAATAAAAATCTTAAAAAAAAAAGAATTCATCTACCAAGTACGTACTTGTTACATTATGAAAATAAGAAGTAAATTATTTTAACGGTCACAATTCCTACCTGAAGTTTCCGAGGGCAAAAGCTACTGCTTTCAAACCCTGGGGGTGGTGCGCCCCACACGCCTCATTCCCAGCTCTTCTCCGACTCTCTGAGCGCAGCGCACTTTCTTTTTCTTTTTGTTAACAGTTATTTATTTATTTGGAAGGCAGAGTTAGAGAGAGAGAGAGATCTTCCATCCACTAGTTCACTCCCCAAATGGCCACAATGGCCAGACCTGGGCCAATCCAAAGCCAGGAACCAGGAGCTTCTTCAGGGTCTCCCACGTGCATACAAGAACCCAGGCACTTAGGCTCTTAGCAGGCAGCTAGTTCAGAAGTAGAAGAGCCAAGGCTTGAACTGGTGCCCATGTGGGATGCCGGCTTTGCCCACTGCACCACAGCACTGGCCTCGTAGCAGACTATCTAATCTCTGGCCAGATCTCACCTTTGAGCTCTAGGCTCTACGACTTGCTCATCGATGGTGGATATCCCACAGGCAGTCCAAACTCGGGGCTTTTCCTACAGACCTGTTCCTCCTTGCCCTGGTCACCAGATTCTTACAGCATACATCACCAGGCCTCTAGCTACTGTCTTCTAGATCTCTCTGAAGCTGTACTCCTTCCCTGCCATCTCAGCCCTGCGCCTTGCCCCAGGACACCACTCACTGCTGTTCGAGCCCTGCAAAGCCTACTATCCACTATCCACCAGCCAGACTCTGCATACATTTTCAGTGAGGTTAGCCTGAAGTTTCAATTAATCAATTCAATAACCTTAAGTGACCACACTGCCTCCAGGAAGAAGCCCCAAACGCTCAGTTTTGCTGTCCACTCCTCGTTTCCTGCTAGTCTAACCTCTGCTATGACTGCTGGGAGCTTTCTCTGACCCTCGGGTCAGAGACTCCATAACTGCCAAGGTTTCTTTCGTAGCTGCACTCACCATTTCCTATCGGATTCTCCCTCTCTCATCCGTAGCCTGCACAGATTCTTCCTGCTCACAGCACTGCCTGGTCTGGTGCATGGCAAAAAGCAGGAACTGAAAATACTGACTGGATAAACAAACCAATAAATGAATTCCCTCACCAGGCTTTCAGGAATCCCAATGTCTTAAATGGAGTGTGAGCAAGTCTTGTACCTCCCACAGGAAAGCTGTTATCCAGCCCTGGTAAGCACCGCGCGAGCTCAGAATGCTTGCTGTCCGCAGCCACTGCAAGCGGCAGACACTAAACACCTGCCCCGGCGTTCCAGGCAGAGACTCTTCTGCAAAAGCACCATCGTCCTCGGTGCGCTAAGTAACTTCCACAGGTGAAGGCAACCAGGAAATGAAAACAAGCTCCCTACTACCGGGAATCTGATACTACCCCCTTCTTGTGTCACAAAATCATGGACCATAAGGAAAGAACTTTACTGGCATGGGGAAGAATAACCCTGAGGCTATCAAGCTGTAAGGGAGAGAGGCACTGGTAACACAGGGATTCAGTTTTATAATACATTCAGATTAAAATGCACATGTGTATATTCTTAACATACATGTGTGTTCATTAACTGTACAACTCAACCCAATAATAAAAAGTTTATTTGCCTGACTAAATTTTTGTTCGGACAGTTGTGTCAATGCTATATTTTCCAAACACAACTATGCTGAGAAAATGCACGTGTTTCAGGAAATTTCCACCCTATTGTCCACAAGAGATGGGGCCAGAAAACGAGCATGGAACACAGATAAAGGGGCTGCCGTGTCCAGCAGGTAAAGCCACTGCTTCCACACCGGCTTCCCACACTGCAGTGTCAGCTGCTCCGTTTCCAATCCAGCTCCCTGCTAATGTACCTGGGAAGGCAGTGGAAAAGGGCCCAACTAATTGGGTCCCTGCTACCTGTGTGGGAGTCCGGGACGAAGTTCCTGACTCCTGGCTTCAGCCTGGCCTGGACCTGACTGTTGCAGCCTTGTGGGGAGTGAAACAGCAAATGGAAGATCGATCATCATTGATCTCTGTTTCTGTCTTTCCCTCTGTCACTTGGCCTTTAAAGTAAGTACACTAACAAATAAATAAGTATCTCAGCACTCATGTCTGTCTTCCCAGAGGCTCACTCTGATCTTGGGTCACATGGCTTGTTTATCCTTTTAAATCTGGTACAAATTACATTTAATTGCCACAGTTTGGCTCCCTTAAAACAGACTTAGCTTTCAGAATGTAATGCAAGCTATAAGGTAGAGCTCCCCTTGGTATGAGACAGGCAGGCTTGGTCAGTAAAAAGCTTTTTTTTTAAATGGCTCTAGGGTGAGCTTTTGAAATGTGGATGCTTTTGTACACTGTCTTGGCAACTGCTGGAGGCCAGCCTCAGCCTGGAAACACTAAGGTTAAAGGGAAACCATGGAAATTCTTGGTAACTGTCTGTCACCAGCCGTAAGATGGAAACCGTCTGCCCAAGTGTGCACCTTTTAAAAGCAAAGTAGTTTTGGAACTAGTATTTGGTGTAGGACAGTTCGTTTCTTACCAAGGAGCCATAACTGCTGGATAAAGTGCAGCAGACTCAGAATGGTCCTCTGTGCTGACCACGTGGCTCCTCCACCCCACCCTCTGCTGCTGCAAGAGGGAAGGGCATTTCCTGCTACATTTGGCCAGCAAGGGAGTGTTTAAAGGTAGGCTTAAATTGTCAACGGCTCGGGGCTGGTACTGTGGCATACAGGTAAATGCTGCAGTGCCAGAATCCCATATGGACGCCAGTTTGAGTCCCGGCTGCTCCACTTCTGATCCAGCTCTCTGCTATGGCCTGGGAAAGCAGTGGCAGATGGCCCAAGTCTTTGGGCCCCTGCACCCACGTGGGAGACCTGGAAGAAGCTCCTGGCTCCTGGCTCTGGATCAGCGCAGCTTCAGCCATTGCAGCCAATCTGGGGAGTGAACCAGCAGATGGAAGACCTCTCTCTCTCTAATTCTGACTTTCAAATAAATACATAAATCTTTAAAAAATTAAACTGTAGATAGCTTTTCTTTCCTGGTATAGGAATGTGGTTTCTGCTACTCAGGTAGGACCTAAGAGTTCGTGCACAGTTATGCTGGGATTTCTCAACTCCAGCATCTGAAGATGTCTGGATCCTATACCAGCCTGGTGCAAAGACTCTAGGCACAGAAGTCCATGCCCCTGAAGATGTTCAGGGCACAGGGGCTTCAGGGTTTACGCACAACTCGACAGTTGCTCTTAGCTTTATGCTGCTTTCTGTGACAGTGCCCCTCATGAAGTCTCTAGCGGCAGTGGTGCAGCCCCCAAACTCATTCTGATACGGGATAAGTCAGACAGACAGATGAAGTTCATGAGCTGGAAGCCACATAGCCCCGACTCCATGTCACCATATCCACCACCTGTCAATCAGATGTACTCCCCCCTACCCAGGGTCTGGGGGTAATACCATGCAAACACTTCCGCTTCCCAAGCTTGTAAGAAGTCAGGTAAGGGCTGGCACCGTGGCGTGGTAGTCTAATCCTCTGCCTGCAGTGCCAGCATCCCATATGGGCACTGGTTCTAGTCCCAGCTGCTCCTCTTCTGAACCAGCTCTCTGCTATGGCCTGGGAAAAGAGTAGAAGATGGCCAAGTCCTTGAGCCCCTGCACCCACATGGGAGACCCGGAAGAAGCTCCTGGCTCCTGGCTTCAGATCGGCACAGCTCCAGCCATTGCAGCCATTTGGGAAGTGAACCAACAGAAGGAAGACCTTTCTCTTTGTCTCACTGTCTGTAACTCTACCTCTCAAATAAATAAATAAAATCTTTAAAAAAAAAAAAAAAAAAGAAGTCAGGTAAAGCAGAAGCTGGCTCTCTCTCCTCATGGACCCTTAGCGAGCCAGATATGGAACCCCCTCTTCACCACTCCTGGCCCACTCTCCCTAAGTAAAGCCCACAGGTACATGTGTATTTTCCTCACTTTGTAAAGAAATACTGTGTGTTGCACATCTTACTTGTGCCTGTACTTAGAATTCTTCTCTAAGTAAAAGGTAAGAATCTAGAATAAAAATTTAGGCCCCATCTAGCCCACAACAATTTGGGGTGCCGGGAAAACACCCCAACCATACATGTAATTGTGTCCTCTGATGTACTGGCATCTTAGCAATGGTGAAAGTACCTCCTAGTGGCCAGTTACCCTAGGTGTGGTGGTTAGGGGAGTTGAAGGGGCATTCTGTGGTAATACTCCAGATCTAAATAGATCTCAATATCTAAATAACTTGTAAGGGTGAACACATGTGGGCTGAAACAAGTAACCCCACTTTGGGTGCAAAAAGAGATTCTAAGGTGCCAGATTTCATCAAACATCAGGGATTTAAGCCACATTCCTAAGTATAAATGGGCTGTGGGGAGCCATGTGTACTTTGTCTTTCCAGGTTCTACAGAGACTTCTCAGCTGTGTGCAGTTCTGCATTCATTCTTATGGACTCACTTCTAAGGGTACAGTTTCAAAACCTGGCCA